AATTAAAAAATGTGACCACAAATTAAAAAATTAAAATGGATAAATTTGTCAATAAAATTAAAAAATTCTAATCCACTAGCGGTTTGGTACAAAAAGTTACATAAATTAGCTTTTTCAATCCGTTAGCGATTTAGACCCTAACCGCTATCTGCTAGTTTCAAACCACTAAATAAAAATTTTACCACACACTTTAATTGTAGTGGTTTCAAAATATATAAATTTATCAAAGATCTATATTTAGCGATTTAGGTAAAACCGCTAACCGTTATCTTAAAACTACTATACCAAATGGGGCCTAAAAATAAAATTAAAAAACATTTATGGGAGAGAGGGAGTGATAAATGGATTTAAATACTTTTAATGACTAATTGTGCCTCAATTTTTGGAATACTGTTGGAATACAGATATGAGTCGCTTCCTTTTTTCATATCCTTTATCCATTCATCAAAGAGATGTTTTACTTTAGAGAATTCACTTCACTGTAATATTTTGGAATTAAAAAGAGAGAGGAAAAAATGTCAAAAGTTTCTGGTTGACAATTTTTTCAGCAAACAGAATTTTCTATTTTTTTTTTTTTATAGATCACCGGTATCTGAAAGCTTATTAGATCACTGATTAATTTGAATTCGATCCGGGTAAAACCCAATGAGCGGTAAAATTCTATCTCATGAGTTTTAACGGAGCTATATTCTCAAGATTTGAAACTAAAACCTCTTGTTAAACTGAAAGAATTTTCTATCAACCCATTCACCCGCTCATGGCTAGAATTTTCTAATCTTTGGTTTCTCCTGATGGAGGTTGCGAGATTTCCCGATTCTTCGCCGACGAGGAAGAGAACCGGCGGAGTTAATTAGAGCTTCGTTCGGACCATGGTTTGCAAATCTGGGTCAAAATGGGCAATAGATTAGATAGGCCCATTTCGCAAGTTATGGAATAAAATTTTGGGCCAAGACTAGAAGGCCTGCCTGCCCTCAAAGATGGAGCGGAATGCAGTGGAATGAAAAATAAAGGCCCAACCCAACCCATAATAATTCCTATAAAAGGAATCAAATCTCACCATTGCTCATCTCTTGAATCATCCTTCCCAAAAAAACTCGTTTTAGAGAAATCCTGCTCCGAAACCATGGTGTGCTGGTCATGCAGGGCTTGCAATTTTGTCCCTGCCGGAGAATTACCAGATGAACTACTCTTCATGCTAGTGTTTGTTGGGCAGATCTTTGGAGCAGAGTAAGTTCCATGCTGATGGGTGTTGTTCTGGTAAGGCAAGAAGTTCAGAGGGGACTCAAACAAGAAGAGACTCAAAATCAGAGTTAAAAGCCAGCACTAAATCAGATATAAAAGCAGGATGATGGTGGGAGGCAAACTAAGTATTCAGAGAAGCAGGTGTGGCATTTGATTGGATTATTATTGGTTTCACCTAGTATTGTTGGTTTGTCTATGAAAGTAATAATACATTATAGAAAATCTGCACTCTTGGTTACATTCATATGCACTGGTTACCAATCAGTAAGCTTGTGGTTATGTGATGGTTGCTGTTGTCCTTCTGTCATTTAAATTGGCCTGTCTGATTTAGTATTCGGAATGACAGAACCACTTTTATTTTTCACTTTTTGAAATTTATGATTTAGGTTTCTGTTTTTCTATTTTTCTCCACCATGCTCAATTTTGAGTCGTAATTGAAACAGTTTGCCAATTTTTTTGTCTTCAGTTCTGCAAAAAAATTAGGTGTTGCTAATGAGTCATGATGCAAAGGTAAATTAAGTATTTATTGGACCATTCTGAGTCATCATTAGACTGTTGCAATTTTTAATCTCTGTGATAGTTTGATGTCTTTTTGGCCAACTGTTGCATTATAATCTCTGTAGAAGTAGAAGTGGTATGTGTCAAACAAGACTACCTCTTGTCTGTATGCACCAACTTGGGTTTGTTAAGAGTAACAGGTTCAAATCCATTAATGGTGGGATGGCAATACTTAGTTGTAGTTTAACTTAGTTGTTCTCAGATTTGCTTCATTTTAGGGTCATTAGAATAAGAGGAATATGAACCATTATCTTGGATTGTGTTCTGGCAGTTTGTCATTCCTCGAATAAGATTTATAAAGGGTGATGTTGTTTTTTAGTCCTTACAACTTAGGTTGGTGTGTGTGTGTGTGTGTATGCGTACCATTAGATGTCTAAACTTACAAAAGGAAGTTTTGTTTGTTTGATATAACCTATGGCAAGCATAGCAGACTTGGTGGCATGTTTCACCTTACAAAAGAAAGTTCCACCCTCATTTTTGCAGCTCACATCTTTGTCATATTATGGTTTTTGATGGTCTCCATCAGGCTTGTTTTCTCGTTTTTGGATGTAAAAGATAGAATTATCAAAATGGAAGCTATCATGTTTTCTTTTATTGCCTTCCCTGTATGCATCTATCCATTCATATCTATATAGTTCTTTCTCCTTACCTTATGCTGCTATGATAGGATACATATTAAATTACTTGAAATTGTTTTACCATCTTGGGTCTCTTATAAACTATTCTTCTGCCAGGTTGTTTTCTGATCATTATCACAAGAGAAAAGAATCCGCAAGAGAAATGCATTCCAATGACTTAGAGACCCATTTGCAATTGATGTGATCCTTTGCATGATGGTGTTATCCAGAAACAGAGGAGTTATTAAAATGCAGGTGTAAATGTTACTTTTTGGGTGAAGTTTTAAGGTGATGGATGGATATATAGTTATTCCTCGCAAAAAATGTTGGGAGAATATTGCAAAATAACCCTTTTTTTCTGTCTTGTATCATAACTGCCTTAGACTTGTTGTATAGCAACTCTCTTTGCTGATTAAATCAGAGAGATCATACTCGATGTACAATTTGGTAGCCAATAAACTTTGGTTGTTCCACATCTGTATTGTCTGCTCTGTTTCCTTAAGGGTGTTACATTAGAGAAGTTTTATGAATTTATTTTGTAGAACACTTCTCCATTGAGGTAGCAGAGATAATTCTAGTTGAAGAAATTGAAATTTATATGCCATGATTAAATACTATAGACTGTTTAAAAAATAACAGAGATAAAATCTATTTGGCTCTAAATGACAATAAACAGAGCCTACAGAACTCAGGGAATGTGTCGAAACTGCAGAGTTCTTTCCTCCAAACTCCTATGATGTAAGCATAAAGTTAGGTAGAAGAACGTCCCTAGAGAGGTAAGGATTATCCAATCTTGTAGCTCTCTCGAACAAATCAACTGTACAGTTTATTTGCTGATACAAGTACCTAGTATGTGTACAAATGGTTGCTTCTGCCCACTGTGAACCAATGAGCGTCATCCAATGTTCAGAAGTTGGAAATCCTCTAGCTCAAGGAAGATGCTGCCAGTGCTTGGATGCCAGCCCCGCTCTGAGACACTTTAAAGAATTACAATGCCGAGAATACGCATTGCTTTGGTTCTTGTTGGAACTCTTGGCCTAAAAAAGACAGCAGGTGGCCGAGGAGATAGTTACTCTCTATTTACAAGTTTTGGATGAGTTTCTCTCATCCAGTCCAAACATTCATTCGTCTGTGGAACCAGAGGGAAGACCCAACTGCCAAGCAAGCAGTTTTTATTGCTGCCAGGGAAAAAAAAAGGAGTAATATAGCATTTGAAAGTTCCAAATGATATTTTAGGGAGATGAAGATGACTTACCAATTCCCTAACAAGTGGTCCTCTAGTTTTAAGCTGCCAAACATGCATTATATGTTTCCCCCAAACTTTCTCCAGACTTGCATTCCAACAACAACAAACAAAACAGCACACAGGAAAATGCCAACAGCAACAGATCGCAAATGAGATGTTGAAAGCTGGAGAAGCATGAGGTTACATTAACTAGAAGTGAATGGAGGCCTGAAGGACTTAAGATGAGATTTACAAACTGGAAACTGATCGTACCTAGTTTAACAACAATGGCATAACTCTCAACTGTCACCAACAAATCTCCCCTCTTGTCGAGTTCAAAGTTCTTGTTTAGCATAGTATAATGGTATCGGCAGGGTATAGCAATGTAGACATTAATTGGGCAACTTGCATGGGATCTTTAATTTCGCTTAGCAGAAACCCAACAGCAAACCAAAGTTATTACATGATGCCTCAATCCTGTTAAGTGTTTGAGGTAAAAAAAAAGATAGATTACCTCGAATACAAGTATAGATGGACCACAAAACAGCATTCAAGCTAAAATGTGTTTTATTTCCTCTGTATGTAGCATGCTGTAATACCAAGTTTGACGGAGAAAATGTATTTAAATCTGCACAAGTCAAAAATATAAGAGATTTATGTAACCAATTTAACATTAAGATACTGTGTGACCCATTTAACATTAAAATACATTCATAATCCAGCCATTATTCTTACAGTAGCAATGAGAAAAGGTAAAGGGCTCCCCAGTTCTCCTCCTCCCTGAATCCATCACGACCAGCCTCCTACAATTGAATACCAAAAAACAGCTCACTTGCAACAGTTGACGGCTGGGTCTTTTCTGAATTCAATCTGCCAATGCAGTGCAAAGTCCATTGCAACAAGGATTAAGTAGTCCAACAAGAGTTTATCTAAACATAACTGAAAACATGAAGAGATTACCATTCTATTTCTATGCAAGGGATGCGGGCTCTCAACTGCCAATATGCCCCTTTCTTCTTTAAGCGTTGTTGTAGAAGTTGACAGTTTCTGATACAAAGTTTTCCAAGTTTTGCAGGCATTCTTTCCCTTGGCAACTCTCGAAGCTTTGGACAATTGCTGACTTCTAGCTCTTCAAGAGAGGTAAGGTTTTGCAGTTCCGTGGATAGAGATTCCAGACTGTTGAGTCTAGAAATGACTATAGAAGTGAGAGTTGTAGGAAGCAGACACTTTTCATCTGGGAAGGAAGCTGTATCCGGTGCACCAACAATGATGAGCTCTTTAAGAGAGGCTAGAGAGTGTAGGTTCCACTCTGACATTGGCTCCTTCAAATTTATGCAATCCCAGACCTCCAGTACCAATAGTTGAGGGGACAAACCCCCTTTGGGAAATGACACAAGACATGGACAGTTGCAAACTGTCAGATATTGAAGAGAAGCAAGATTTTGCATCCTCTCAGGTAGAGATTTGAGATTGGCACAACTGTAGATTTCTAAGGTTTTCAAAGTGGGTGAGAGGCCTGTCTCTGGAAAGGAGATTAAAGCTGGACAATTACTTATAATTAACTCAGTCAGATGTGTGAGGCTACACAGGCATTCTGGCAAACTTCTGAGAGTTGTGTAGTTCCGCATATAGATGTATTCAAGTGATGCATTGTTGTGCAGCAGCCGCTCTGAAAATGGTTCTAGATTTGAGCAATCACAAATTTTCAGTGTTTTAAGACTAAATGGTAATATGCCTTCAGGAAAGCACACTAGAGATGGACAATCATCAATCTCCAAGATCTTAAGATCCCACATGTGTGTGCTGTTATTGTTCTGCATGATTCCCTCTGGTAGAGACTGCAAATATGTACAACCTCGGATTTTCAACCTTTGCAACCTGTTACCTCTTGGAAGGTGTGTGAGGAAAGGACATTCCTCAATCTCCAAGTCTTCAAGAAAATAATCACTAGTCCTGCAATTAGGTATCGTCTGCCAATCAAATAGGTTCTTAAGAGCTGCGCAATCTTTGAGCTTAAGATGTTTAAGTGTGGACAAGCAACCTGTCTCAAGAAAGGATACAAGTTTCGGGCATGATTCAATTTGCAAACTTTTGAGAGTCAGTTTCTCCAAGTTGCCATAGTTGATCAACTCATTATCTTCTAAACTACTATAAAGACCTTGCTCATTTTCTATGAGAGACACAAATTTGGAGCAGCCCTTAATTTTTAGATGCTCAAGAGAAACAATGTTTTTCAGTCTGGTACCCTTTTGCCACAGAGATGTCAGTTCAGTGCAATTGGAAACATCAAGGGTTTGAAGTGCACCTAGAGACTCTAGCATCTCTTGCGGCAGACATGCAAGGTCCCTAATACTTCGGATTCTCAGTGTTATTATGGAAGTAAGGTGAACAAAATTTTTCAGTTGCTCCTTGTTGCAGTCTTCAATATTTAATTCGCAAAGGGAGGGGAGGCTCACAAGTGAACCCTCCAACTTTGGGCAGTGACTAATGATAAGCTTCACAAGGGAAGGAAGGCATCTTGGTAAGTCCCCAGTCAGCTTTGGACAATCTTTTATCGTGAGCTCATGAAGAGAAGGAAATTCATCAGCTAAATCTTCATCACCTTTATGAGTGGAAGACCAATGTTCCCATTCTAACATATTCTGAAACCACAGAATTTCCAAGGACAGAAACCTCTTAGTAGAAGGCAAACCATCACCATAAAACTCAAGACCCACCTTCTTGACTCCATTCATGCCTCGGATGAACAACTTCTTCAATGATGGCAGTCTCCCAAGTGATGGAAGTGACATGCTTTTACTGCAGTTATTGAGGCTCATGTGCACAATCTCAGTGAATGAGGGATCTCCTAACCAAGATGGAAATCTTTTACCACCATAAAATGAAATTGTAAGTTCTTTCAGATTCTTATGAGGTTTTAGCATATCAAGAACAAGCATTTTGCCTTCTTCCTTTCGGTGATCAAGGAACTCACTACTCCATTTCAAACATAAGCCATCAATACCATGCTTGTGCATTAGATTAGCATCCCCAGCATCTCGAACATTCACCACATTTTCCAATCCAGTAATAGAAAGCTCCCCTTTTAAATGTAACAAGTCCTTCAATTCTCTAATATTGCCAAACC